CAGTCATTTGCTGTGTGGACCAGGGGGTGTGGAGTGGACGAAAAGGTGCGGGATCGACCGTGTCATCCACCTGCGCCCTTCCCCATCTCCGCTCTTCTTGACTCCGTCTTGACACCGGGTCCTGGTGGGGGAGGAGGAGAGTGCGGTAGATGCTGTGCAAGTCTACATTCGCCCAAAGCTAATTCACGCACAAGTCACCGTCCCTGTTCTCACCTTGATGTGGAGCATACGGTGGACGTCGTTGACAACGACAGTCGAACTGTCATGATTGGGCTTCAAGGTGGACCGAAACACTCGTCAACATTCCTGTCTGATCTGTGCGCGATACTGCCGGAAGACTCATTGTTGTGGATCTCAGCTGACAGCCCGCGGTCTGAGAACAAGATTCTCAGATGGTAAACCTCAATTGCTGATGGGATCCGATTTTAAGTCTGGCCGGAATTGGCTAGCTGACGATGACGAAAAGGACGAAAAGTGACCATTACACTATTCCTCATCCATTTTGCTAATGCCTACCGGTTTTAACTGATTATGGGCGTTCAACTTTGCGCTGCAGGCGGACGTATACGACGGATGAGTGGTGTTGATGTAAAGGCTTTGCGCAGTAATCACTTCGGACCGACCTCTCGGCGACACCCAATCATCCTACAACCTTTAGCCAGGATGAATAAGGGCCACCGCCCTGTCAAATCTGATCGAGAGCATTGAAAGTCGGCTGAATTTTTTCACTTAATGATTTGGCTAGAATATGTCGTCCTTCCCAGAACACTCCAATTAACCCAGCTCTGTGAATGGGCATTAACACTTAGGAGTCATTTTAAATATTGAGTTCCTGGAATGTCGGTCAAATAGCGCATTTATTGGGTGTTCGGAACGGCATCTGTGGACGCCAATGGATCAATTGACATGAATCCAGATATCCGGAGTATTGCTGAAAGAGACAAAGGATGCTGAAAATGGCCGGTTTTGTATTTCTTACTCCAATCAGGCAAGATTGGTAAAAACAACGGTAAGGATAGGGTACGTAACCCTCTTGGGTAGTTTTTCAAAGATTTACCTTCTCATCTTTCCTGGGTAGATGTGGTGTAGACCAAAGGTACAACGGGACGAGTGAGTTCCGTAGCGCGATTGGTGAGCGCCCCTCTACCATTACATATGACCGATCGCAATCGACAGTCCAAGGAGCCCGTGACTCAGTGATTAGTACGCTGGACACTGGTTCGCCAGTCTCTGTGCGATGGATTCGCAAGTGACCGACCAGGCCGATGCGTGAGGTGAATGTGCGTGGACAGTGTGGGCATGAGAAGTCGGCGGTGTCAGTGTCAGCTACAGAGGAGGCGGTGGTGGTGGTGTCG